ATTCCATGTTACCATTTTCATTAAAACATGTTAATGCTGACTTTAGTTTATCTTAGTGTTAGTGTGAAAGATGTATCCAATACTAAATTAGATATGTCTGATAAATACTACAAGCCTACACAGATTACTCATATTCTGAAACATTATCATGCCCTTATCCCGAAATAATCCAGAACTCATACATAATATATCAGCGGAAACAAAATTAAAATAAAGTAACCAACCCTACTCTCATGTAAGATTTAAACCAATATTAGACTACGGAAATGATTTTCAAACAACCTTGATCTACTTATGCACATATTTGATTATTTCCACCCCTTGATTCTCTTTTGCTCCGGATTATTCTTGTGGTGACCTCCATCATCTTAGTAGTTGCCCAAATTCTTCCGCCTAATTTCCCTAATTACATATATTGCAAATTTAAGTTATATCCACAAGCAAAGATAAGAGATTATTACGGCAGGATAGTTTAAAAAGAAACTGTGGTTCAAACTTGTAAGAGAACTTTCTAACATAATATTATTACAAGCATATAGTTTTCGTTAACTCACAAAAATCTAGTAACAGAGATGATACAAATAAATGGTAAGTGTAGCACTAAAATCGAACGGGTTTCACATCGAACGCGCATCTCATAGAAAAGTGGAACTCTTTGGATAAACATGTAGTCTTGTATTAATCGGAGATTTATCATTTTCTAGTCTTCTAACTATTGTAAATCACTTCATCATTTGTGTAATTATCTCATGATGTGAACCAAACCCTGAGAAATATATACCAGATACTAGGCCGTGGCCCTAAAACCTAACTAGTATAGTATTTTTGTTTTTGCTCAACCAATCCAATGGGAATTTTCTCAAAAAAGAAAGAAAAGGATAATTTTTCAGGAAGAAACTTTCAAGAAAAAAGAAGACAAAATTCCAGTCGGTGAGATTATTGCTTTCTTCATGCATGGACTGCTGTTCAGGGAGGGATTTCCATTTTTTTGCAAGCATATTATTGGCTCCTATATTGCTATACGTAGAGAATTAGAGTCAGTAACTAGAGGTCGAAGAGATTAGGCTAACATGGAGGTAGGTAGCTTATCTTATATTAGTTTGTTTCATGCTTTTTCTGTGAGTTTTCATCTTACTGTGCTACATTTTAATATTCTTTAATTTGCGTACTATAATTGTGGCTTTCTTTTCATTTGATTAATTCAGAAGTGGTTTCGTTGGGTGAAGTTGGTTTTCCCTATCATGAATTTTTGTTTATCAACGGCGAGAGGGGATTAATTCAAACTTGGGTCTACTTCTGAATTCTATGACTTGTTTGGAAATGCTTTTAAAATAACTAAAAGCATTTTTAATGAAATTAATTTTGACACTTAAAGGGCTTTTTTAGGATCCACTTGGATTTTACAAGGATTGATTTCAAAACTTTTTTCACCAAAAGCGGTTTCATCTCGTTCTAAAAACACTTCCAAACAAGTCTAAGTCATTGTGGATCTAGAATGTATATATTATATTAATAATATTGGACCTTTGGATTTCAATATATGTCAACAGCTTCAGGAATGTTATGAACTTCATGGTTAAGACAAAGACTTCTTCCTCAAACAATTTGACAACTGGAGGCACTATATAAGTACTCCATCTTGTAGTTTAATTTTTGCTTGTAATTTTATGTTCCATTTGTTTCTGCACATTTCGTGCTCATAATGTGACATTATTCTACTTTTCTTGCGTATTGGCTATACAATTTCAATTTTAGATTGTATTGCTTTTAGCATATGTATGTTTTAATTTGGTATGGATACGTTTAATTAGACATGAGTACAATAAAAATAAAAATAAATAATTGCAGTGCCTAGTAAAATGTATCCATTTCAAATTAAAACATACATATGCTAAAACCAATTATCCTCTTCAATAAAAACAATTTTTTTCTCCGGCTAGCATCAATATCATTTGCTAAAATTTCTATTCATTGACCTATAATATTGATTGACTCAATCCTGACACTGAGAATAATTTGTGACCAAATAAATTACCTCATTAAAGAAAAGCGTTGCGCATGTGTAAAGATGTTCTTCTTTTCTTTTTTTTTTTTTTGTTTGCTACCCCACTCGTAAAGGTGGGGCGTCCCTATTAACCCAAGGGGCTTAGATAAAGATGTTATTATTGAATCAAGCTGATAACGCGTGATTCAAAACAGGCTTTTCGTGTGTGTAGGGAGTCTAGTTCATAAAATTCATGGTTTGCCCCAGTTTCAACTCTCCAGTCCCCACCCAAACAAGTATTTTACTTGGGCAATATGTTAGCAGAACTCCTCCCAGTAATCGCTTCTCAAGGGCATTTTACGACGTTGGAACAATTTATGGACTTGTGTTCCAAATCTAGACTACAACGATAAAGCTTTTCATTTTTACTCAATTATCGTTGCTATAATAGACGAATAGCGAAGATTTAATTAAATTGTCAAAAGCAAAAATAAACTTGGAATGTGTATTTGCTCAACAAGGTTCGAATCGCGGCAGCGGAACATACTGTTATCGAACTACTGAACCTGCGTATGGTTTCCAGAGCTTGACAATTCTGCTTTCTGTTCGCTGTCGATTAAATAACCCAGAAGCTTCATATCTTCCCTAAGCAAATCCAGTACAAGGTATATCCTTTCTGAACCAAAATGTGACATATCTCCCATAACAAACTCATGGATTTCACATCCCAACTCAATCCAGCTCGACCCTCTATTCTTCTAACCCCATGCTCTCTAATCAACGCTCTTACTTTTGCCACGCCATCCCACATTCCTGCAGCAGCATAGGTATTGGATAACAGAATATAATTGCCAGAATTGTCTGGCTCAATCTTGAATAATTCGGCTGCAGGCAACTTCAGCCAGTTGGACATTGCGATGGACCCTGCACGCTGCAAGTAAAGCGCCCCATACAGCTGAAGGAGCTGCAAATGGCATCTTACATATAAGCTTGTACGCTTCTCTGAGGCATCCGCCACGACCAAGAAGGTCAACAACACATGCATAGTGTTTCACAGAAGGATGAATTCCATGTTCAAATGTCATTTGTTTAAAGTACCTCCTGCCCTCAGTGACTAGACCAGCATGGTTACAAGCACTCAGAACGCTAAGAAAACATATGCCATCTGGTTTTATGCCTTCCCTCTTCATCTCCTCAAACAAAGAAATGGCATCTTGACCCAGTCCATGGTTGGCAAAGGCTGAAATCATGGTGCTATAACAAAGCAAATCCTTTTTTCGGGCCATTTCAAATATTTGTACAGCCCTTTCAATGCTCCCACATTTTGCGTACATGTCTATCAAACTAGTGACCACTTGCAGATTAGACAGAGATGATTGTCCCAAAAAATCACCCACAATGGATTCTGCTGTACCAAGAACTCCTAATTGTGAGCAAGCCGAGATGATTCCCAATACAAAAGTCTCATCTGGTCCAACTCCTAGCCTCCTTGAAGTGTTTATACATCTCCAAAGCTCTGCGAGGCTCCCCATTTCGCGCATAACCCCCAATTATGGTAGACCACGAAACCAAATTCTTCTCAGGCATCTGATCAAATAAGCTCCTCGCACTAGTAATATTGCCAGATATTATATAACCATCCATCATTATAGTCCACGAAGCAACATTCTTATTTGGCATAATATTGAAGAAGTCTTCTGCAAGTTTGATATCCCCTGCTTTACATAACCCCGAAATCATCAGATTCCAAGTCCCAACCTCACGGATTGGCATTGCTTCAAATAAAGAGAGAGCATTACCAATTTCACCGGCATCGGTGTACCCAGAAATCATCACATTCCATGACACCAAGTCTTTGGTTGGCATTTTCTCAAAAAGAAACCTTGCCTCCGCCATGTCCCCAGACTTCACACATCCACATATCATGCTTGTCCATGAAACTGTATTCCTCTCAGGCATCCAATCAAAAAGCTCCCTCGCAACATCAACTCTACCATTACCTCCATAGCCTGAAATCATCGAATTCCAAGAAACCACATCTTTTTCATTCATCTGGTCAAATACACCCCTAGCGACATCAACTTTGCCACATCTCATAAACAAGTCAATTACCGCATTTTGAACGGTCAAGTCAGAACCGAATCCAAATTTCAAGACAAACCCATAAATTGCTTCCCCATCTTGAACTCTACTCTGCCTAGCTAAAGCCTTGAGAACGGACTGCAAAAGTAAAATTCAATGGCCCAACGGACTCACCATGCATTTGGGAAAACAGATACAAAGCTTCTTCATATCTACGATTCTCGACATGCCCATGAATCAAGGCAGTCCAAAGAAAGGAATTTGGTTGAGTAATTTCATCGAACAGCTTGCGGGCATAGTCGATAGCTCCAAAGCGAGAGTAGAACCTAAGGAGCTTGTTGAGGACAAGGTGGGACGAGAGGAACGAACCGGTGACTAGGAGATGGGCATGGATGGATTTCAGTGGTCTGAGAGTTTGGCATTTGTGTACAAGTTTCAGCAGCGAGTTATTCATTTCATGGCGCCAAATGGGAGGAAGAAATTCTAACTTGTAACGGTCACATAAAGTACTTAAAATTAATGGCCAGCTGGGAAAATGAATAACGGGCCTTGTGCATTGGGCCCACTGAATTGATTACAAGACGATAATCTAAATTACTCTAACCTAAATCTGCACTCGAGTGTCGTCTAGTTCAGGAAAAGATAGTTAATTAACCTCTTCTTAAGTACTTTTTTCTTATTTTTCCCATATGAATTTAGTCATTTTGGAAGTGGTTTATTTGTTCTCTAATTGGAGAACAAAATTAATTACCTATATACAACTACACTCCGTAGCAACACCGTTCAAATGATAGAAAGGAGGACCCCCGGGGTATACGTAGGAGGAACAAAATGCAAGACCACGAGTAGCATGTGTGCATGCTCTTAACCGCTTGAGCTACAATGCCATTGGAGTTCAAACAATCGATATTGAAAACCGTAAAAGAGTAGATAATGGGATTCAAAACAACTTATAATTCTTCAAAAAAACCTTGACCTCAAGGTCGCCAATCCTCCACCAAACGGCATAAGCCAACAAAGAATCAGCTGCAACTCTATGTAAGCCTCTCATCTGTGTTTGTATTTAGAATACATGTAAAACTAAGGTATCTCACTATATTCAGTCCTCTGACATAAATTCCATGAGCGAAAATGTCCAGCTCCTTCCCCTTCTTCAAGAATATCTGAATTCCTATTCATACCGAAGCTGATGACCCCCCGTTTCAAAAACAAACTTTTGAGACCTACCAGAAAGAAAATGAAAATGTACGTAAGTTATGCTACAATACGCCGAGTTACATGAACCTAGCAAGTGACCACATGCCAGTGTCTGGGTATGAGAGGGCAGTAGAACCAGCAAGGCAGATCTTCGACATAACTTCATTGTTCATGTTTCCACCCGTGAGCTCCATGTTTTATCTGTAAGCAATTTCCGGGTAATTTACATGAAGTCCGAAGTTGAGAATCTCAAGCAGTTCCAGGCTTCTAGATAACAGAATGAACAAGTTTGACATACCAGCCCCTTTACCAGAATCCCCCTGTTTGTCAACGAACAATTTGTAGAACTTAAGAATCACTGAAGCAGCTGAGATTGTGATTATTACGAGGCTACAAACAAGTTCAATTGAATAAAACAGCGCTGTCATGATTTTTGAGGTGTATTCCTCCCTGGTCTTCCGTCACTTGATTCCAGAGATTTCTCATGGTAATTCTTGTTATCTGATGATGAATAATCAGAAGTTTGGCTTTCGACAATCATCACTGACTGGCTCTCAGCAACGTTCGATTGTCTTTGGTTTCTGGACTTCTCAGGAGCTTTGCGGCTTGAGGACACATATGATATACCAAATTTCTGCCCATGAGTTAGTCCTTGGCAAACCCCCTGCACAGAGAGAAATTTTCAGTCTGACTTCAAAGTGATACTATTACTACCCAAACAAAAAAAATTTAATTATGTATTTTCTGTAGTTTTTAGTTTCCAATTAGAAACATTTAACTTTGCTATAATTCCAAAAATACCCCAGTTCTTCATCCCACTAAATTTAACAAAAACAGGGCTTCATTTTATAAGAGCCACAAGCACATTAAAAAAGAAAAGACTGCAGAGCGAGCACGAACTAAAATCCAGTAAGACAGGCATAATAGATTCAAGAAGAGAAACGCCTGGTATGCAATTCTCACTTTTATCAATCCTGATATAGAGGTAGAATCCGACAAAGACGAGTCTGAAGGAATTCCATTGCGGACCCTTCCATATAAGCTACCATCATAAGTTTCTTGAGAATTACTTGGAACATCGGAAGCTTGAGATTCATTTCTAATGTTGCCAGTGTTACAATAAGCCCCAAAATATGAACAATGTTCCTGCACAAGAGCTATTTCAGGGGTTGCAGGCAATAAGTGGCCTTCGGTACTAAATATGTACCTGCAAATGTAAACATTTTCACCAAACAAGGCAAATATGAGACATTTTCACCAGATATGGAAAATATAGATATCTTAGCTCTTTTATTGAGATAAGTTCCTGCACTGAAGCATCATGAAAGGAATGTGCAGAACTTACATGTATGGCCCATTTTCAACAAGGTTATCTGGTCCCACAGCCAAATCAAAAAGAAGCCACAGGTATTTAACCTAATTATACTACAGGTTGTTAATATCGTGTAATAGAAGATGAAAAAGAAAACAAAAGAAAGATAAATGAATGTAAAAATCGAACACGATACAGTGATGCTAGTAGCAGCAGCCAGGATAAAGAGTAACCAAGACTCTCAAGTCCCAATTAACCCACTACCATCAGATGGATATTTATCAATAACAATCTTACTCTACTGAGAGACTACATGAAGAAAAAAAAAACATTTGACTTCAAAGTTCTTACCGTTTCTGCCAGGAAAAAGCTCTCCATGTGATCTTCCTGCTTGTGGAACTCAACATCTGATATATGACAATATCCACAGGGGCATCGTGCACTGTGCTGCAAGCTGGCAATCATGTCTCGTCCAGCATCAAGATATCTACAAGAAATACAAAAGATGACTAAAGCCTATACTGAAGTGTCCTTTTCTTTAAACTAACGTAAATGTCCTTTTTTCCATATTCCCTTTATAACAAAACCTGAAAAAGGGTCCCAAAATTAGAAGTATTTCTGAACTTACTTTGGATCTCTAGTTGCCTTATAGAGCCAATATGTGCTCTCCATTAATTCTGGACGCAGTGGATAACTTCTTTGTCCATGCTAAAAACAAATGTAGACTTAAATATTACAAACGGAGTTGATATAGTAAAGTGAAATTTAAAATCCATACTATAGAGAGAATTATTGATTGAGAAAATAATTCCAAGAAAGTCAAAATAATAAAAATATGAAACAAAAAACTGAGAGAGTGAGAAAGGACGGATGTGATACCAGAGAAGCTAAGTTTAATTAATTTGTTAATAGGGACACTGATCTAGAAATATTCATGGACTGCCTACTATTCGTGAATTCATATAACAGCTCCATGCCCCAGAGGCTTAACCAGGCCAAAAGTTCACGCCTCAAACTATGACCTGTCTGACCATCTAATATTGCCTGTGGGATAAGAAGAGCACTATGGAAATTTTTACCTAACCATTCACAAATCAAAGGCAGACCACAAGTGCTGATAACCTTACGAAAAATTTTATCTAACATACCCCAAAATACAGCTATATAATTTTCACTTATGAAAAATGGTTTTTAATTAGATGCATCAAATCATTCACAGTACTATTAGTAAAATAAGAATGATAAAATTGGTATTAGGATAGGGGAAAAAACATTATTATGGTACCTGCACACTGAGCGTAGCGAGATTAAAGCCCTCCGGAGTAAAACCATATCTTTTCCACACACTAAAGAAGGCAGTATGAGTTCGAATGGCAGGATCAATATCTCCAGCTAAAACCTTCCAAAATATAAGGTAATCAGTCTCACTGAAACCTAATGGGCAATTTTGAATTATCCAGTCTCCACTGTAGAAATGTTAAATCTTTAACAACATGTTACAAACCTGAAGTCCGGGCCAGAATGCTTGCAAACTGTTAAATAATGGCCAGACAACAGCAGCAGAATCCATATTTACCTCTACATACCTACAAGCGTAGGTAAAATTGGCATGCTATTAAGTTAAGGAGAATAAAAACCTATAGAGAAATTAAAATAGTTACAGCATTTACCAAGGATCATTGTAAAGATGGTGCATAGCAGCGGCATAAGCTTCTTGAAATATGAAAAGATACTCTTCATCTCCAAACAATAAATAAGCCTGGAATGGTAAACAATGATAGTAGGAAAAAAAAAAAAGCCATGAATACACAAAAACCATGTAAACCCAATATAAAATAAAAACATACGAGTCTACAAAGGCATAACCACCAAATCAAGGCTTAGAAAAAACTAGGAAGGGGGACTACGGTTTTCCTGCTAAAATAACAATAAAAAACAAGGACTCCTCAACATCACTTATTGTAAAGGTCCTATGGGGCTACACCAAACTATTGAAAATGACAAGCCAAAGCTCCCTGTAATCAAAACCACAAAACTGAAGAAAGTTGAGGTTCCACCATAAAACCAATTGGCAATATGGGGAGTAGCCCAACCTCTTATAAGCCCACGCAAAGTCCCTCCTCCCATCAATGTGGGACTCATTCTCAACACGCCCCCTCACGTGTGGCGAAATTTTCAAGCCTAACACGTGGACAACACAACGGGGTGATGTGGAGGGTGTGTGGCCGTTTGGCTTCACACGTGGGACAACCTGGCTCTGATACCATGAAGAAAGTTGAGCTTCCACCATAAAACCAATTGGCAATATGGGAGTAGCCCAACCTCTTATAAGCCCATGCAAAGTCCCTCCTCGCATCAATGTGGGACTCATTCTCAACACTAATTTACATTAACAAGAATGCATTGTCTTCCAACAATCACAGTGATTACTTTGTCTCATGTCTCCCTCTCAACCCCAAAAAATACCAAAACTAGCACTGCAACTTTTTAGTCCTAGTTACCTTATCTTTCCAATTTAACTTCCAGGAGCTTTTGTAATCAGTCCTGACATAAGGATATCAAGTATCGACCTAGTGACTGAAAATGTGCTAATGCCCATTTCAAAAATATAAATGTAATAGCTACAGAAAAGTTTCACCTTTCCAAGTGAAGTTACACACCTTTAGAAGATACTCATAGAAAGAGTCAATACTAGTTCCTATTCCAGCATCCTGCATAGAAGCAGAGAAACGTAAGTATAGGTAATGCTCACGAAGAACATAGCAGAGAAGAGTGCTTGATGCCGGCACAGAAATCTAAAGAAAAAAGAAAATACCAACACATCATAAAAAAGTGACAAAAAAGAATAAACTACTAACTACCCTATAAATACATCTAATTCAGGCCTTTCGAAGGTCAGACTAGACATTCAGATAGGATAAGAACCCCAGTTATGCATTTGGGACACAATTTAGGCAATTTAATGGGACAGTGGGATCCTTGCAGGTTCACAATCCCAAGTTAGTAGGATGACCAATCCCACTTAGTAATAATGGATATCCCAGAAGCATTGGCTTAGTGGGTTTAGTCCAGTACAATCATATCAGGTCCCCAAAAGATGGCCTAAGGGTCTGTCAAACTAACAACATCGAAATCAATAATGTGGTAGTGGAGATAATGCAAGGGTGAGTTAACTCTAAATCCGTCGACTGCAAGTTGTTCAATAACAGTGGCTTGAGTTTCTCGACTTTGCCTTAGGATTAGTTAGTTCTATTTCTCTATAGCCGATTGGAGAAGGTTGATCAGTATCATTAATATAAAATCGAAACAAGGATATACAACGTTGTTTAAAATAGTAAGGTGAGGCCTACCCCGAATGTGTATACCAACTTCTATTTCTTAAAGTAGAGTTATTCACAACATAAATGCCCCAGTTTCAAGCCAAAGTAAAATTAACCACTATTATTATTGCGGTCAGCTTTTCAAACTCCAGATGAATCAACTTAAGTTATATATCTGATTTTCCCATACGGTATGATGATTAAGAACCTTTTATCTTGATACTACATCTACTGACTCAGAGTTGCATGTTTTGCAAAGTAATCATGTTAAAAGGAATGTTACCTTCTGTGTCCATTCACCTGTAAAAACATTAATGTGAGCACCAACTAAATTGAGCCTTGAACGACGAGCCCAAAGTCCACGCACTGCATTCTTGGTAACTTGTTCAAAAACTGCAATCCCCATAAGACAGAAAAAAGTAAACTCTCCCTTCGATGAGAAAGAAATCCAAAAACAGACAAAATGGAACCGACCAGTCAGAGATGAAATATAATGGAATGTAAGATGGTAAAGAACACCGTACTTCAAATATTGGCTCTAAAGATGAATTATAAGAAAGAAAGGTCACAGTTGCAACTTCAACACCAAACAAGATTGCAAGTAAAAGTGAGCAAAATGCATTTTGGTCTACAGGCGAAACCCAAGAGCATGCTTCTTAGAAGCCAGGGTTCAGAGGTAGCTACTACTTACTGGGATCTTTTGTCAAACGGCTGAGCACTCCAAATTCCAAAGTCAAGGTCCCACCACCAGCTGTCGATGTTATCTACACAAACTAAAACTGAAATTTAAAAACGTTTGCCCAAACTAACAAATAAATACTAGTCTTGATGATGGTTTATAAACAAAATTAATTGAGTTTGGTTAACAATTTAGACCTTCACTTAAACTTCAGCATGAACATGGCAAACTTACTTACCCAGAAAAAAAAAATGGCAGATCTACTCATTAGTTGTTGTAAAAAGTGTCACAGACACAGGAAAGAGTAAAGAAAATCGGACATAAAAGAGAAAATGTTGAGAGGCTTTGCCTTGCTTTCATGTTCATCAACTCCATGCATTAGATTGACAGATCCAAAAGGAATTCCTGCAATACAAGACCGTTTAATAAGGATATTTAAAATACCAGTACTATTCATACACTTCTGCAACTGGAAACAAAAAGTTTGACATTCAAGGTCCGGTAGACAATTGAACCTTTAAATAATGCATTTATAATTTAGTTAGCTACAGCATGCTTTCAATCAAGTTAGTTACAATCATCCCATATGGCTTGTTATGCCCTTTTAAGCCTTCTTGTCCATACCAAAATCAATTGGTGTTTTTTAAACATATGGCTTGTCATTCCATATGATCTTATCTATTACTATTTTTAACAGAAAAATAAAAGGCACTCATAATTGTATTCCCTGCAGGATCTCTACAAAAGAAATGTCATCATTTTCCTAAATTCATATATTTTGAGCAAACCTCTGAAACATTGGGAATGACAAAGACTGCAAAACAATGAAGGTTCAGACAAAAGAATCTTGCAGAGTTTTGTGTGTATTAGATGAAAAGAATAATCCAGTAAGTATACCTGAAGGAGTATCAAATGCAGGTAACAATCTCCGGGCAAGATCCTCAGCTAAGGTAAGTAATTGATTGTCATAGTTTGGAATTTTCATGCCCTGAAATGGACGGATGTAGAAATAATTCAATAATGATCTTCAAATATATAAATTCTATGACATTGCACTCCAACCGATTATAAATGAAAATAGATAACCAAATTTCTCCCCAGTAAACTTTGATAGAAAAATCAGATAAGTGATATTGCTATATGTATCTTACAAACTAAAACATCTCCTTTCTTGAAATATCAGACAAGTGATATCGCTATACGTATCTTACAAACTAAACCATCTCCTTTCTTCAATTTTATCCTTCTAATATTTATATGTTTTCTTTCTTTCTCCTAGAAAGTGGAAACATAGTTAAGCCAGAGTCAAAATTGAGCTCATAGCAGACATTCATCATATCAGCACTAAAAGAAATTAAAAAAACTAATCTTACAGTGGTGCCATTAATGCTGAGCAGGCAGTCGGGCATTTACTTAGTATCATAGATAATCAAGAGAGTTAAGGTTGGTCCCAGGAAAGTTTTACTTTTAATATTATATCAATGAACCCAGAATTTCCCATCCCTTCTGGCGGGTAAATTTTCTTGCTAACTACTCATTGCTGGTTCTTCTTGAAATAGCGAACAAAAGAGAAACAAAACAGCCACAAACCAATTCTCTCATAACTCATTAGCATTACTCAGACCAGGTGACTGCCAGTTCTATAACCCCTACCTATGTTTATAACTTTGTATAATAATGTGTACTCGTATGTACTTAAAAAGAAGGGCACTGTACACTGTTCACTGATGGCATATAAAAGGTGATTTATGGATGTGATAAAAAGGTGAAAGATTGATACATAGAAGTACGCAACTAATTAGTACCGTGGAATAATCACTTGCTATAAGATGTGCAGAAAGTAAACCCCCAAGGACGCGGATGGTAGTCTCAAAAACAGATACCGTCTTATTCTGCATCAGTACAAAGATCCCTAGTTAGATTGACAATGTCGTCTACTATCTAGAATTATTTAATTTACAACCAATGCAATAGTAAAAGCACACATAAATTTATGATAACAGTTAGATAAGAGTCATAAGGAAACAAATTTCATAATTAGGGAAGACCAACATATAAAAAGGAGAATTTAAATAAAAATCAAAAGAGCAACACATCATATTAGAATGAGAACAGTCTGCCACTGTACCTCATGAGTCATGGTATGTTATTAAATACATACCATGTCAACAACTGCCACATTTCAAATCATGTAAAACAGCCTTATGTAGTGTTAATTAAAGTTAGGGATAACCTTTGATTTGAACCAGACAACCCATCAACCTAAAAGCCCTGTTGTCAAGTGAGCTAACTAATTATTCCACAAAAGGAAACACTTGAAGAATCTAACCAATTGTTCCAAAAGAAAGAAAAGGAGTTCAATGTGAACCCCTATACATGAGCATCACTTGTGCATCCTGAGTTCAGATTACCAATGAAGAGGGAAAAAAGGAAAGAAAAATACTACTCACTATATCAAACTGTAGTGTTTTACCAATCCATTCAACAGAGGCGGCAAAGTGTTCTCGATCACCAAGTAAAGCTAGTGTGTCTAAGGAGTCAATCTGCAACAATGGTTCAGCAGAAGCATCACATTAGAGCTTAGCAAAAAAAAAAAAAAAAAAAAGAGTGTCTTAAACAATAAAGTATATGCAGTAGAGAGATTGGAAAATGAGAATTTGTGATTTGGATTACCAAAGTTAGGGCATAACCACCAAGCGAATCTTCACCTGCACAAGAATGAGGCCTTAACTCATCCAGAGGAAAAGCATGCTCCATATATCCATTGAATGCATGATAAAACATTTCCCTGACCTACAATTGAAAATATATATTTCCAAATAGTTAGAACGCCACATTGTAAGTTGCAACAAATGACAAGTTAGCCCACCAACTTTTAGTGTTCTTTAGAAAATTTCACATGGACCACAAAAATATATAACAGAAAGAATCACAATTTATTACTTTGATACAGCACAATAAAAATACAAGGATAACATCCTACATTCTTAACATGTAGATTCTCAAAGGGAGAATCCGAAGAAAAAAGGATTCTAGTGTCTTTTTTATTTGCATACAAATGCAATGCAAGACTGAATTGAGAAAGTTGTTAAAAATGTGTAAAATTGAAGCAAACTGATTACAAAGTGGATATTCATAAGGCTAATAAAAAAGAACAATGCTTAGCTACTCAAGGATGAGTAGGAACGCCTACTAAAAACTCTTTCTGTTGGAATCACAAAGCTTTCTGCTTATGATCAGAACCGTTCATATTGTGAATCATACTGTAAAGACCTAATTTTTAATTTATATTTTGCAAAGGCGATCTTTATAAAGTGATTTATAATATAAACAGTTCTAATCATAAATACAAAGTTATGTGAATTGACAATGAACAATTTTGAGTAGGAACTCGTAGTCATTCTTTCAAGTATTATACAATAGAAAATGTAAGAAATAATAACAATAATAAGTTCACCAAAAACCAGAAAAAAATTATAAAAAAATGAGAAGTCCTGATTATGATTCAGGATCGAGAAAATACACTAACAAGCAATCATGGGTGACCTTCCAAACTCAAAATCCAAACTTTTACAAATAGTAATTAAAAATCGAAACTTTCAGCAACTGGCTAGGTGAACTACATTACACTTAGATTAAATCATTATACACTCAAATCAATTAATTCAAAAATTGCAAACACCACCAATCCTTTGCAAATTGAACTCTGGATTGTTCCGAAAATCGGGTTTTTACAACCAAACGGCCCCGAAACCGCTTCAATCTCCCTAAACCCTAATTACGAGAAATGGATGGTGAATTGAGGATTTACCTCGTCCCGGAGCTGCTTGGCTTCGGCGGGAGTGACACCGTCGGCGAGAGCCGCGCGGATGAAAGAATCGGAATGGAGTGAGAGCAACAAGAAGAATGATAAGATTGGAAGTGAAGATTTCAGAGCTTCCATTGCCGCAGCCAGTATGCGTTTCTGAATTGGTGTTAGCTGTCGGGTAAGGAAGGGAGGAAGAGTTGTACAGTTGCAGTAGTTAGCTCTGTTACAATCGGGTTTTTTGGTGCCTCGGAGCGCCGGTTTCGGGTCGGCAAAGCAAGTACTTGTCTAATTTAATTTGATATCTTTATCTTTGAATTCAATGGTAAAATAAAGAAAGTGCAGATTTTAATAAATCAAACTTGGAAATAAAATAAAATAGAAGTTTTTATTGTACTGACATAAATTATAAGTTAGAATGTCATTAAATGGCTGTGTGTGTATGAAAAATTAAACTAATAGGGACATTTTTATATCAAATTCAAAAGGCGCACCTTAGCTCGGGTGGAAAGATGGTTTCGTTATTGTCTATATATAAAGAAGGGTAATGTTATATGTCACATCCCGTCTTGGGCCTCTATTATATTCTAGGCTCGACTTCACCGTAGCACGATATTGTTTGCTTTGGGTCCTTACCACATCCTCACGGTTTTGTTTCTGGGAACTCAGACGATAACTTCCCAGTGGGTCACCCATCCTGGGATTGCTCTCGCGCGAACTCACTTAACTTCGAAGTTTCTATGAAATCCAAAGCCAATGAGCTCCCCAGGAATTGCTCTCGCGCAAACTCGCTTAACTTCGAAGTTTTTATGAAATCTAAAGTCAGTGAGCTCCCCATATAAGACTTACAGGATCCACTCTCCTGGGCGATGTGGGATGTCACAATCCACCCCCCTTAAGGGCTATATGTCCTCGTCGGCACATATCCGGGCAGGGATTGGCTCTGATACCAAATTGTCACATCCCGGACCAAGCCTCCACCACATCCCCCCTTAAGGGCTCGATGTCCTCGTCGGCACATATCCGAGCAGGGATTGGCTCTAATACCAAATTGTCACATCCCGGAACAAGCCTCCACCACATCCCAGGCTTGATTTCATCGTAGCACGATATTGTCCGCTTTGAGCCCCTACCACACCCTCACGATTTTGTTTATGGGAACTCACACGAGAATTTCCCAGTGGGTCACCCATCCTGGGATTGCTCTTGCACAAACTCTCTTAACTTCAAAGTTCCTATGGAACTCGAAGCCAATAAGTTCCCAAAAGGCCTCGTGCTAGGTAGAAATGGGAATATACATATAAGGCTTACAGGATCCACTCCCCTGGACGATGTGGGATGTCACATTATAGAGATTAAATTTGGATACTAAATTTGAAAACTAAATGATGTGTTATCAATAAGAATGAGCATGTTTATCAACGCTTAAGTAATAAATCAATTATCAACTTCCATGTCCTTTAGTTTTCAAAATTTTGTCTACAAATTTAGTCTCCCTAGTATTATCTTATAGAAAATAATTATTTACTAAATTAGTAAAAATTAAAGGACTTGCCTCATAACATTGTTTTTTTTTTTTTATTGTCAATAACATTAGTATTGTAAGTTTAGATAATCATTTCCTTTGATTACTATTTTATTTTTAATTTTAATTTTGTATAGTAGAGATTGAGAAAGTATATGTGGGATCTGAAGAAAGGTGAGGAGAGTATGGTAAAGAAATTTGAAAGGATGTAATGACATGGCAAAATGAAAACGAAACATTAAAAACTGAATACACAAAAATTAACATGGGCGCATACAATAATAAATTAAATTAAATGTTTACCAAACGACAGAATTTGGAACAAAGAGTCATATTTACATGCGCGTCATCCTACCCTTTCAATAAGTGAGTGTAAATAACTTCCACATATAGACTTTTCATCTTTATATACAAAGGGAGAAGGCAAATTTAGTAAAATATTTATAATACCCATCCCTTCATACAACTTTTAAATAATTTAATTAAAACGGACAAACTAGTAACTTAATAATAAATAAATAAACCCTATAGCAAGTTACTAACCAATTTTTTTTTTCTTTTAACAAATGATATTATCTACACTAAAGAATAAATAAGTGAGTTAAATCTCACAATGAAGTAGCAACAATATAGTTAAATTTATCTTTAAAGAGAATCGAACTTCATTGTAATCAAGTTTTTTTTTTCTTCAAATAAAATTAAAATATCCAAAAAATAATAAAGATTAAGCTAAAAAAAAAAAAACAAATTGCCGCACACACTAGCGTGTGACACGAGGCTTTTAAATGACTAAAATTGTTTTTAGATAAAATATTTTTAGATTAAAAAAAACACTTAAAAGTACTTTTTTCAAGATTAACTTGCATTATTACTAAAATTTGATTTCAAAAACATTTTCTCTAAAAGTGATTTTTTTTTCTTCTAAAAAATACTTTTATTCATCTCCCAAACAAGCCCGTAGTTTTCGAGACAAGCAATACCACGGCCTGCATTTGTCGTCGGCCGCATAAAGAGAAGCTGGATACGAACAAAACGCAAGAAAAAACAAGCTCAGGCAAGCACGTCATAGAGTAAAACGGTTTCTTAAAAGCAATCAAGTATAAAAACTAACGTAAATAAACTAGGGCACCATCCAATTCCAATATGTATTTCTCAATCAGCACCAAGAAGTCCGTGCCGTGCCATCCAGGGATTTTGTGATCCTCACTACATCACAAGTTTGTACAAATTCTCAAAATAAATCAAACCAAGCTCGGAGTGAGTAGGCATGGAGTTAAGACTAATTGTTACATAGAGCGGTACGCACCGCCTTTCAACTTCATTGTCAAGACGGAGCTGTAAGAATTCCACATAAGCAACTCAAGTGATCGAATCCTTAAAAGCAAAGGGTCTCATCGGCACCAAGCAACTTCCACTCATCCCTGCAAATATGTAAGTAGTTATGAAAAGGAATTTACCAACCGCATTAAATCATGATAAATCACATCAATTGTACAAAAAATGCTAGTGTGAATCAGACTTTTGATCACTACGAAGAGCAAGTACAAAATTGGCTCTGAAATAAATAAAAGCAAGCACAGCACTCACGATATTGAACATAACCCATAGCTGGTAGCCTTGTGTGACTTTTAAGATTCTACTCATTGAAGAAATCCACTTAGCATAGTATGGTTACCTAATGATAAATGAAGAATATACAAACAATAATGGCCCATAGTTGAATTATACTCAGTTTTTCGGCTTGAATAATTAGCTCAAATCAATCGGGCTGAGATATACATCCAACTTCTGTAAGTTAGCCAAAAAATGCCCAGCCACTGCTCTTATGCCTATCTCAGCGCAGACGTACATCAATTCAACCTAAATCAACTCCTTAAGAGATTTCTAATGTGGCCCCATATACCAATATGGCATATGAACTTCATAAATCACAGGAAAAGGAATGCGGCCACTTCCTATCCTACCAGGCAATTTTGACCCTCCTGTGTGCAAGAACACCAAATCCCCGGTAATTGTGCACTGATAGCATATATTTATCATCCATGGTCCATGGAAACGCGTGGGTAGTAAGTGCAATATATGTGTGCTTGACGCAACAGGGCCAATACCTATACGCCCAGAGTCAGATAAAGCGCAGGTACTCATTTTAGCTCTTGTCAAAGGGCTCTGTAGCTGAAGCATGAAAAGAGGTGCATATTCTTATAAAAAATGAAAACAGATACTAAAACCAGGTAGCCGTAGGTTATACCAAGACCATTAGCAATTTCCAAGTTTTTTTCTTCATATAAGGAGATATATTACTAGACAGACTTTTAAAAGCATTGTAACAAATTTCCAAAAGAAAATACTAGACCTCATGAACAGATGCAAAACTTAAACACATCTAACATTAACAAGTAACTCGAACCTGCTGCTTTTTCTTCTTTGGCCTCCTCTTTCTACGGGGTTTATGAGCGTCAGAGTTGGAGCTCAAATTACTACTTTGACCCGCAGTTGAATTAGAGGATCCCCTAGCTTTGAACGAAGTTCCACTTCTGCCACTTGATGTATTGCTATTTGATGTATTGAAGGAAGTTCCATTTCTGCTATTTGATGTATCGCTTGATGTGGCCATTTCAGCAATGCTTTTTGAGAATTTTTGCTTGATGAAGGACCAAACCTTGACTGAGCACGAACAGAACTTGGGCGAGAATTGCTGGACGGCCGGGGAGGAGGCATCAAAGCTCTAGCAGAAATCTGTCGCTATTTAAGAAATTCAGGTGAGGCAACAGAAATATAAACAATCAATAATACATATAGTTAATCACAGCAGTACAATAGTCAACAGATGGGAAACCTGATTTCTCTCATCACTGGACATGCCAGAAGTTGCTTTTCCTGAAGCACTGGACACCGGTTCCCTGCAAAACAGATAGCGAATTTTGATGCAACTTCCATCAAAACGGACCATATTTTTAATAAATAGGCAAGGTACATGAAAAAAAAACAACAGATTATACACTAATTCATATAGGTTCTGTTAACTTTTAGCTTTGCCAAGTAATATATAACCAGTGGGCTTGTGTTATAAGCTTTCTATTCCACTCCACCTTTTTTTATAAATCTGTTTTTTTTTTTTTTTTTTTTTTGATGAACTGGAACTTACACTGCAAGTTCAACTAACCAATCAATGAGGGAATATCAACACAGTCCATTACAACAAATCAAACATATAACCCTATCTCAAAACAAAAAGTTCTCAAGAACAAATTATGACATCTCACTCTCAATTTTAATTATTAGTGTAAGAAACAATTTTACTGCTAAAAACAACAATAAACTACAAACAGAACAAGTTGGAAAATACTTTGTACTCTTATCTGTCCATTCATCATCTGCATCTGCTTCATCACTAGAACTCCCATTTAGGAAGAAATCATCTTCGCTCATATCCAGAAGCCCATCATCCTCACTCCCTGTTTCTGTAGGAAGTCCAAAAATAGACAGCATTCATATCAGTGTAATAAAATAGTTCAATAATTTGTAACCCTCAGATCATGTTCATAATTGATAATTAAAAGAAGAAAAGGAAGGTAAAACAAGCCTCCTGGAGAGAAAAGATAAAGCATCTAGCTTGGCAGGAATGCGGAAAGAATAATTTGGCAAGTGTTTTTGTTTGATAGGTTATCTTGCAGCCATTCTTACCTGTACGGTTAATTTCATCTGAAGACCAGACGTTTTGCTAGGTATTTATCCTACATTTTTTAAGCGGTATAGACCC